ACCAGCCTGACCCCGCCCCTCCCCAGAGCCCCACTCCCCATCCCAGTGTCAGACCTCCCAGCCACCCTCCAGGGACGAGTTCCCTTCCTTGTAGCTGAGAGCTACCCCCTCCCTGCCCCCACACACACTCCGCATCCCACACCAGGCTCTCTCTGCACATCGGGTTCGGTCAGTCTCCCTGCCTCACGCGGGGGCCGCACGCCCCTGAGCACTGTCGTCGTATTGACTTCATTTCCTAGCACTGCCCAGGCTTGACTCTGCTGCTGGGGCATGAGGACGAGGGGAGCAGGCCCCCCAGTGCTCCTGTGAGCAGCCACAGCCCGTGTGGTCATGCAGCCAAATGCCACCCAGACCCATCGCAGGCTCTGAATGACCCCAGAGTTCCTGGGACAGGAGGCAGCTTGCAGGGACCTCTGGCCAGCGGCGCCGCGAGCCTGGCAGGGCTGTCCCAGGCCCCGTTCTCACCCGGCACCACGAAGTGCACCATGACGTCCTGCCTCCAGCTGAGCTGCAGCGGCCGGCACAGGACAGGCTTCCCGGAGAGCAGGCTCCAGCGGCTGGGGGGGGGCTGGGGGGCCGTGGGTCCCTCGGGGTTGGCCTCGGTGCTGTCGTCCGGCCTGCCCTGGTGCAGCAGCACGTAGACGTACTCAGAGAGCCGCAGCGTTCTCTGGCCCCGCTCCAGCAGCTCCAGCTCCAGCAGGTAGCGGTTCCCCCGAGCCGTGTCTCGCCGCTTCTCCACATTGACAATGCGCAGCAGCGTGTAGATCCTTGGGGGGGGGGGGGCGATACTGACACCATCACCTTCCCAGGCAAGACCCCAGCCCTCCCCCCTCACCAGGAACAGGGGCAGTCCCACGCCCACTTTTCCAAGGGGGGGGGTGCACCTAGGCCAGGAGAGCCCCCCACTTTCCTGAGGAGAAGTTCTGCAGGTGGGGAAGAGGGGTGGAGAAACTAGTGGCTTGATTCCCCCCGCATGCCAGGAGGTGCAGGGCCGGGGACCTGTTGCGGGAGAGGAGTGTGTATCACCAGGGCCGGGTGACACGGAGACCCCCCCCTCCCCTTTGGCCCGCCAGATGGGGACAGGGCTGAGCAGAGCGTAGCCTCGCCCGATCCCCGGGTCTAGCTCCGCACCCTGCCCGCGCCCACCTACCCGCCATTCTTCTCGTTCAGCTTCTCCATGTACTGGGCCACCACGTCCACCACCTCGCTCTCGCTCAGCTGCAGGTTGCCCGAGACGTTGCAGCGCAGGTCGTTCCAGTCGGAGCGCAGCAGCTCAAAATCCACCGCGCTGACGCTGAACGTCCTCTGCCAGTTGATGGAGTCCTCCAGCCAGCTCTGCTGCAGCTCCGAGTTCTCATAGCTGTAGTCCGACAGCTCCTCCTCCTCCTCCTGCTCCTGGGCCTTGCCCGGGCCCTCCCGGGCCTCCTGCTGCGACGCCGTCACCTCCGACACCCTCAGGAAGGACGTCACCCGCACCCCGGCCGACAGGACCGCCTCCGAGTTGTAATCCAGGGCGGCCGCGGCCGCGGGCCGGGCCTCCTGGCTGACCAGCCCCTCCGCGGCGGGCAGCTGGACGCTAGGCTGTGCCCTCCACTCGCCCACAGCCTCTGGGTCCTCACGCTGGTACAGCTGCGCCCACTTCCTGCTGCGGGCTCTGGGGCTCTTTCTCTTGGAGGGGTCCGTCTCCCTGGAGCCGTTGCCTAGGAGCCAGGGTGCCCGGTGGCCAGGGAGGTTGCGGAGTTTGGCGGAGGGGCTGGAGCGCAGTGGGGGGCTCAGCGGCTTAGGGTAGAGAAAGACACCAGGGAAGGCGGCCTCCTGCGGTGGGGCCTTGCGCTTGCTCGGCTGCAGCCGGGTCACATACACCTTTTCCTGGGGCTTCTTGGCCTTCCTGTCCTCAAGAGGTGCCACAGGCCTGCTTGGGCCCTGGGGCTTGGCTTTGCCCCCGAAGATGGGCATGGAGAAGTGGGGCTGACGGCTTAGGGCACTGCCCCGCCTCGGGGACCCCAGCAGCCCCGGCTTATCTGCCTCTCTCTCGCTGGCCGGGTCTGGCTCCTGGCGTGCCCAGCTGAGGGAGCGCCCCGGGACCCCGGCCTGTCCTCGTAAAGGGGGAGTCCTCTCATAGGTCTGGGAATCCCTGGGGCTGGCCGTGGAGCTGGGGCTGGCCCCATTGTGCAGGTCCTGGATTCGTGGCTGCCCTGGCGCATCACCTTCCTCCTGAACTGTCCTTTGTGGGTGGCGGGGCAGGTGGTAGTCCACGTTGCCCCCGTCATCCCTTGCTGCTAGAGAGATGCCCCTCCCTTTGGTCCCAGTGCCCAGGGGTGGGCTCGGTGCCCTGGGGCTCTTCTCCTTGCCAGCGGGAGGTGGGTCCGTGGGCTCAGGACTATCTGCTCCTTCCTCCTCCTCATCCAGGAAATCTGCAAAGCAAGCACAGTGCAGGAAGGCCCCTGGAACACGAGGTCCTGAAGCATCTGCATTCACAAGGCACCTGGGAGATGGATTCTCCAAGCGCCGGCCCCTGCAGTGTAATAACCCCAAGCAGGCCTGGGTCACAGAGACTGCCAGGTTTAGCCTATTGTAGGCCATCAAGTCCTGCCCCCCAGCTACCCCAGGGAGCTAATGCAGGGAGGAACTGACCCTGCCAGCCAGTGTCCAGCAGCGGGGGCTCTGCCAGAACAGGATCGGAGGGGAAGGGGTGACTCCCTAGTTACCTGCAGAGCTGGGACTGCTGTGTTAGTGGTGTTTGAATTTTCCACCACACCCTGCAGCCCCTTGGCTTCATTCAGCTGACCAAGGTGCTCAGGCTCCAGCCCTTTGGGGGGAGGGTGAGAGAGTCCAGTGGCTGCAGCATTGCCCTTGGGCTTGGGAGACTCATGTACAATTCCCTGCTCCGACACTTACAGCCTGTGTGACCATGGGCAGGTCACTTAGCCTCCTTTTCCCATCTATGCAGTGGGAATGGGAGCACTGCCCCATCACACTGAATGAGAAGCGCTTGGAGGTCTCCTGCTGCACGGAGCTAGAGAGGAGCTTGGTGTTATTCCTTTATTCGCAAGGGTCAGAGATTTGTTCCTGGCCAGAGAAGTGCTGCCAGGGTAGGAGAGCGTGCCGCTGGGACATCCAAAGGGCCAGGAATCTGGGACTGGACCTTTGATTGTTGGGCTGGACTGCTTCATCAGCTCACAGGGGCAGGGAGGCTCAGTTTGGCAGGGGGGTGGGGCCTCCCAGGAGACAAATAATAAATCATAGAAACTAATACTGTGTCCATTTTTATCAGTGTCCATCTCTGGCTCTTGGATTGACTGGCAGCAACTCTGATGGGCTGGCTCCATTCGCTTGTTTCAACCCCAGCACCAATGCGGAGAGTGTTTTCATTTCACTACTGGACTAACTACCATGGTGTTTCCTTTCTGTCTTTCCAGCAGAGGATCTCACAGAAATTTGCACACACTAATGAACTAGCCCTCGCGTCCTCAGGCCACACGTGAAAGGTTAGATGGGGGGGACCCTGTGTTAATACAGAGAATTCTTTCCCAGGTGTCTGGCTGGCGGGTCTCTTGCACGCTCCATCAATGGGGTCAGGAGGGAAACTTCCCTCAGATCAGACTGGCAGAGGGATGAGGGTCACTTGGTGGACTGTCTGTAAAGGGTGGACTGTCTGTAACTTGAAATCTTTACATCAAGATCTGAAGACTTCTGGAACTCAGCCAGAGGTGCGAGGTCGAGTGGGTGGGTCAGGTTCTGTGACCTGCCGAGCTAGGACTAGAACGTTTGTTGCCCCAAATTTCGTGGTGCCCTATGCAGCTGCAGGATTTGTGTATTAGTAGGGACAGTCCTGATTTTACAGGTGTGCAAACTGTGCCTGAGAGATACAATGATGGGCCCAAAGGCAGACAGCGAATATTCAGCAGTCAGATGACACCCTCCTTCCCCTCCACCTAGGGATGTTAAATAGGGGTTAATTTAATAGTCGAGTAACCTCATGAATTCTTATTGGTTAGTCAACTATTCTATAGTCCCTAGGGGTGGGGTCGGCAGCCAGTGCGTTCCGGCCCCACTCTGGAGAACCCCCTGCCGCTCCGTGCCCCTGCCTCTGTATCAGATCCCCCCGTCCTGCCTGACTCCTTTCTTACCACCCAGCTGGTACCCAGCTCAGCAATTGGGCTCCAGCTGCAACCCAGTGCCTGGGCATACTAGGGGTATGTCTAGACTACATGCCTTTGCCGACAGAGGCATGTAAACTAGGCTACCCGACATAGTCAGTGAATTGGGGATTTAAATATCCCCGGCTTCATTAAAATAAAAATGGCTGCCACACTGTGCCAGCTCAGCTGATGGTCAGCACAGCGCGCGAATCAAGATGCAGATCGCTCGTCGGGGAAGCCTTTGTCGACCGCTCCCTTATGCCTCGTGAAACGAGGTTTACAGGAGTGGTCGACAAAGGCTTCCCCGACGAGCGATCTGCATCTTGATTCGCGCGCTGTGCTGACCATCAGCTGAGCTGGCACAGTGTGGCAGCCATTTTTATTTTAATGAAGCCGGGGATATTTAAATCCCCAATTCACTGACTATGTCGGGTAGCCTAGTTTACATGCCTCTGTCGGCAAAGGCATGTAGTCTAGACATACCCTAGGCTGTGAAGCACTATCCCTACTAGCAGATGGCAGGACAGACTGGCACGGAGGAATACCAGCACCACGCCAAGCTGCAGAGACAAACAGGGCAGCTGCCCAGTTGGAGCAAGCGGCGTGCAAGGGCTGCTTACTGTCTGAGTTCAGGAAGAGAAAAGCTCTCTGGCGAGGATCCTCCTCTTCCTCATCCATCTTCATGTACTTGTAGAAGCCAAATCTGGGGGGAGGGGAAAGAGAAGCAAACAACAGCGTCTCTGAGATGCCCACACACCTGATGCTGACCCAGCCAATGGCAAACCTCCCCAAGCCAAGCCAAGCCAAGCCAAACAAGGTGCCTCTTTTGATCCCTATCGTCAGACCCAGCAGGGCCAGAGCTGAGATCCTCTGGCGTTTCACGCTGGGGTGTGATGTTATTGGACTGTATTATGAACATACAGGGTGTGTTACATACAGGGCAGTACTGCAACTACTAGCACATGTTTGCAACACATCTTGTTCAAAGTGTGCCAAGTGAGATGTCTAGAAATAGATTATGTGTATGCCATTTGTAGTCATGTATCATTTTTGTATTTGAAGTTATTAGTATCGGCTCTGTGCTTATATCTACTATATATTTTGAAGAGTTTGTTTTGTTTGTGGATTTTTTTTGTGCAAAATATAGTTGTACTTCGCGATTACCTACAGATACCAAATTTTGCATAAACAATTCTGCCACTGAAATTAGCTGAACGCACTACTTTTTACACCAGAATATTCTGGGTGAAAGGTTTAAATAATTATTTTTGTTTTTCATTGGAAAAAATATTGATTTTTATTATTAGAGCTCATAAAAATATTTGCTAAAAGTAGCCTATTCAACTGTCATTTTAGTGCAAAGAAAATTTTTACTGTTACAAATCACAAAATAATCAAAAGCTTCAGGGATAGTCAAGTTAGTCTGTACAGGATAAACTTACAAAGACAAAAACTGATCTGGTAGCACTTTATAGACTAAGAAAACATATAGATGTTGTCATGAGTTTTCGTGGGCACAGCGCACTCCAAAGTGGGCTGTGCCCACAAAAGCTCACGATACCATCTATATGTTTTGTTAATCTATAAAGTGCTACCAGATCATTTTTTGTTTTTTTAAGTTTAAAATAATTCACATTAGTTAAGGAAAGAGTAATGGAAACTTTACAAGTTTCTGATTCAAATATACTATGAATGGTAATTATTCAATAAAATGAATAATGTTTGAAGTTGAAATCCTACAAATTTAAAACAGTTCTTTTATTTCTCTTTTGCAAGCACGTTAATAAAAAAATCTCTTACATATATTTAATTTATTGAACTTTCCTATAAGTGTCATCTACTCCAGTGTTTCTCAACCAGTGGTACAAGTACCCTTAGGGGTACTTGAGAGAAGTCTGGGTGGTACGTCAACACAACTGAACTTTGGAGAAAACTGAATTTTTGTTTTAAGTTTTACAGAGTTTTATTATTTTTGTACTTTTTACACCCAAACATTTCATTGTCCGCCCAGCTACAATTAAGTTGTTTAAACAAATGTGTTGCAATGGTAGAAAATTTATGTGTGTGTCTGAAAACTGTAGGTACTGGGGGTACCCATCTTGTAGCTGTACTTCTCCTCAGCAAGAACAACAGGATCCCCTCCACACGACAAAGGATATGCTCCTCCATTTTGTCTTCAATCCTGCTTCTCACCTCTGGAGGATCTTTACTAAAAACTGAAGCTCTGAACAAAGGACTGAATGACCCACCGTAATAGTGGATGTACTTCTGAGACCTGACTTCAGCAATCCATCACTGCTACAAGCCTCAACCAAGAACTTTGCCATTGTTGTATGTATCTGATTCTTTTAAACATTTTAACTTTCTTTCTTTCTTTCTTTCTTTCTTTCTTTCTTTCTTTCTTTCTTTCTTTCTTTCTTTCTTTCTTTCTTTCTTTCTTTCTTTCTTTTCATAACCTCTGTTTGTGCAAGGAGTGGTGCTGGTGGTGGCAGAGGAGATCTGAAGTGCCTAAAGGAATTGCTTGTATGACTTCTTGTGAGCCAGTGTAGTGAACAGAAGTGCCCTTTGAGACCGGCTTGGTGTGCTTTACAATGGAGGACCTCAGTCTGGGGCTGTACATAGCCCTGTCTCTGTGCTATTTGCCTTCAATTGATGCTGTCAGAAGTGTCCCCCAGAAGTGTCCCTCCTCTTATTACATGGTGCCTGGGGCGAGGCCTTATCTGCTCATCCACCACTGTGAGCTTAGAGCAGTGGGCTGCTTGGCTGCTGGGTGGCCCCCACGTTTCTCTTCTGAATCTCTCGCTGCAAACAGGTAGACAGAGGAAACATGCTTCCTGGCTCCTGGCAAGTCACCCTGTGGGGATGCTCTCCAGGGAGGGTCAGAGTTGATGCAAAGCGGGCGTCTGCCTCAGCATCCATTTGCTGGGACGGTCTGAGCCAGCGCAGGGGGACGGGAGGCTGCTGACTGGAAAGGGGCCTAGCCTGAGATACAGAGCCTGAGGGATGGGCTTGGTGGGTCCAGTCTGGTTCCCTAGGAAACAGGGCCTGAGTCTCAACCACTGCCCCTCTGTGGGTAGCCCAGGCTCTTCAGTGCCCTGGCTGGGCCCGTGGCAGAGCAGGGCCAAGGCACAGTGCATGGTCTGCCCTGTCCTGTCTCTGCAGCTGTCCCTGCCTAGTGCTAAGGGGCCCTATGTCTAGCAGCTCTCTGGCTGGGCATGGAGCCCCCAGCTCCCATAGCAGCCGACACAGCACAGGGCCCGACACAGCACAGGGCCCACGCTGAACCTTCCTCCCCCCTCACCCCCCCACTCACTTCTCCAGGTAGATGGGGGACTCTCTGTAAAAGCACTTGTTCTCCGTCTCCATGTGGGTGAGCCGGGTGAAGTCGTTGGGGTACACAAATGAGAGGTAGACCTGGGGAGCCGAGCAGAGGAGTCACCGAGAGCCTGTGCACCCCAGGGGCAGGAGGAGCCAGGGAGGGGTCTAGGAGTGGGCGCACCCCGTGAGGGCTCTGAGGTCATGAGGCCGTTTGCACAAGCTCCTTGGACCGGAGCCTTTCCTGGCAGAGAAGCCTGATGCTCATCAGCCCACGGCGTCTGCCAGGCCAGCACTCAGCCGGCTCCTTTGAAGGGCAGGGGAGGGGACTGGAAGGAGATGACTCAGTTCATGTTAGCATTGTGGCTCCCTGGCGCTGCTGCTGCCTGTGCCAGAGGCTGCAGGAACAGGGCTTTGCTGGGCACTGCACCAGAGGAGCAGCCAGCAATCTGAGCTGGCTGGTGCACTGGGAGGTCGGGCAGGGGCCTGGCACCTCTGGGACAGGTGGGAGACAGGGGTATTTACGGGCAAGGCTGGGGGGCTGTCAATGAGTCTTTATAAAGGGACCCTACTGGATGTTGCTTTCCCCTGTGTGTTAGGGAGCCCCCCCCACCCCGTTTACTCTCTGTCCCCAGAAGTGCTGACAGATTGGGCAGAGAGAGCAACAGCCCCTTTCTACCAGCCGCCTTGGCAGCTGAGCGAGCCTCTCCGTGGCTGTGTGGGCGAGGGCGGACTGGCTGCATGGGACATGGGGAGGGGGATGGCAAGTCCCAGCTGGTGGGTGGGCGAGCCGAGGGGGTGGTGCTCCCGGAGCGCTCTGCGAGCACACAGAGCCCTGCGCCTGCGGGGAGGGGCTCCCGCACTGCAGCAGAGCTCCAGGCGGGTGTCACGACTGCCGAGCCGGCAGGGGACAGAACAGGATCACGAGGGCCCTGGTGACGTGGCTGCTCCCGACACCCACAAGCCCCCGGGGGCTGCAGTGCTGCCAACACGCGCCTGGCCACCGCTGCCTTGCTCGGGGACCGGAGGAGCTGTGCCCGCGGGCCTGGCCCAGAGCCCCAGAAGCCAGTGGGAAGCTGTCCACTGGCTCGGGCAGGCCCTGCAGACACAGGGGTTTCGTGCCCAAGACCCAGCAGCTCCCACGGGACCAGGGGCAGGCAGGGGAGCGGAGACACGGCCGAGCGCTCCCTGCCAGAGCCAGCCGGACACTTACGAACTGCAGGCCCTGGTAGCGGGCGATAGGGAAGTCCTTCACCACGTAGGTGGGGCTGTAGGCACAGGGCACCAGCACGTTCTCCACGCGGGACGCCTCAATCTGGGGAGCTGGGCAAGAGGAAGTCAGGGCTTCATCTGTGTGGCCTGGGAGGCCCTCAGCCACGCCACCCCAAAGCCCCCAGCACCTTATCCCAATAGGCCTGCGCAACGCAGCCTGATATCTACGGCCCAGCCACACTGGGTGACTGCCCATCCCATCCCCTATAGGCTAACCCAGCCCCCACTTTCTCCTATAGCCCATTGCGGTCGGGGCATCCGCCCATCCCTCTCATCCCCTACAGCCCAGCCCAACCTGGATGACCATCCAGCCTGGCCCAGCCCCAATAGGCCAGCACAGGTGGCTCCTCCCCAGGGCATGGAGCTGGGGGGCACAGGCAGGGGATCCCTGGGTGCCTGTGGTAACTGATCCTATCCAGCCTCATCTCCTCCCCTCCTCTGCACAGACTAACAGCCCCTCCCCCGAGGGGGGCAAATCCCTGGCCCTTCCACTCCCCCCACCCCGCACAAGCAAGGCCTCTCCCAGGAGGCTCCTGCCCCACTTACTGAGGAAGAAGGTGTCCCTGGGGTCGGGTCTGAGCATGTCGGCTCCATGCTCGTCTCTCTGTGCCTCCCACAGGTAGCCCCCGGCATGGCTGGCGAGGGACTGGGGGATGTGGGCCACATGGTTCATCTTCAGAGAGGACTCGTCTGCAGGAGAGAACGAGGAGAAAGGCCACAGTGCCCTTGGGACTCAGCTCAACTCCTGGTGAACATACCCAGGGACTCCTGTTGGCCCAGCTGGCCATGCTCTGGGGGCAGGAGTAGCCTGACAAGAGAGCACTTAGCGACCAAGTCCTCTCCTGGGTGGTGGGGCCAGACAGAGATGCTCCATGTGGACCTTCCCTAACCACAGCTTTAGCACCAAGCCCAATCCCCACCCCACCCTAATCCTCTGGACCCCAAACTATGCTCCAGGTCCCCTGACACACAATTTAACCCCTCAAACCTCACCCCGTCCTGATCCCCCCGCCTTGAATTCTGTCCCATCCCAATCTCCCCTGACTGCAGGTCCACTGCCCCTCAAATCCTGCCCCATCCCAAACCCCTGCCTAAACCCTGCCCCATCCTAATCCCCTCACATCAAACACTGTCCCACCTCATGCCACACCCCATCCTCCCTCCCCAAATTCCACCCCATCCCAATACCCTCGCATCCCCACCTCACCCCAAATCCCACACCAATACCCCCATCCCAAACTCCACCCCATCAAGGTTCTCTAGCATCAAACTCAGCCACACCTCACCCCAAACTACACACCGATTCCCACTCCGTAAACCCTGACCCATCTCAATCCCCCACCCCAAACCCTGCCCCATCCCCTCGCATCAAGCCCTGCCACTCTTCACCCCAAACCCCACACTCATCCCCTCACCCAAACCCTGCCCCATCCCAGTCCCTCTGACTCACAGCTTCTGCAGGGCCCTAAGTCACTCCGGGTATGTCTACACTACCCCCCTAGTTCGAACTAGGGGGGGTAATGTAGTCATACGGAGGTGCAAATGAAGCCCGGGATTTGAATTTCCCGGGCTTCATCTGCATGAAGCCGGCCGGCGCCATTTTTAAATGCCGGCTAGTTCAGACTGCGTGCAGTGCGGCTACACGTGGCACGAACTAGCT